AGTCTAAGAATGGAACTCAACATTTCTAACACTTAACAATCTGCTCCCATCAGAAATTATATTTCAGAGACAAGTTTCCAAAAAGAAGCATCTCTGTTTTTTAAACCTAATTGTAAAATAAGTGTCTCTTCCAATACAATTTCCTTAAGCTTTAGTTTCCACCAAAGAAAAGGTTATAAAAATGGTCTAAATATACTGATAATTAATTGAAAGCAATGGAAAATAAATTAAAACTAACATAATGAAGAATGCTTAAGAAAAGGGCTACCAGAGGCCACAAAACTTAAAAAATACAAAAACCAAAAAACATGTCTGTTTGCACCATTCACACTGAAATCTAATGAAACACTGTGAAATCTTTGCTGGAAAATGTAGCAGATATTCTTGTGCTGCAACTACCACCTTAAGCTGTAAACTGAAACACCTTCCTGCTTATCCCAAAGAAATAATGTTTTTCAGAGAAGTTCCTTTTTTTTTAATAAAGTGAAAGAAAATCCCAACATATTATTAAAGAATTGTATAAAACATTGAAACATTACAAAATGTTATACAGACTACTTGCCTTTTGAAACTGACATTTCTTCAAAGCACATAAAACATTAAAGTTTTAAACGAAAAAGTTAAAATTAAACCAGAATGCCTGTAACCTAGAACTCACTAAGCTTGATATTTTTAACTGCATATTCAGAAATATGCTTCTAAGTAATAAGAGCCATCATGATTCATAGCTTCATGCAAAAACATCCCACAATATAAATCTTGTTAACCTTTTGAAAATCCCCAAAAGCTCGTTACAAAGCTGCTGAATCCTCGCATAACAAAACCATATATTAAAGTATTTACTGTCCTTCTAAAAAGTTCATTACTTAAAAGAAACAATACATTTGAGTTAATGGGACTTTATCGTGGTCTGTCGGACAAGAAGTGTGGGACAGTTTGCACTTTCAGACAGTGATGTATGTTAAATTAAACTATCCAACGAAAATCATCATAGAAATTTAGGAGAAATCATTTCTCATCCGATGCTACACAATAAGCTATTTTCCAATTGAATCCAGAACATATTTACCAGTTAATGAGCACTATAGTGAAAAGACTCAGAAAGATCTCCTCTCTCATCCTACTCTTATTACTTTTCCCAGTTGCTTGAAATTACATGCAACCACCTTGAAAATATTGTTTTTCAAATGCATTTGTTTACATAATAGTTGATTAATTTTCTTCTCTGAGTTACTTGTTACAAGAAATATTGCATATTAAATTCCACTTACTGAAAATATGCATTTATGACATTTAAATTATATTCCTTGAAGTAAGCACTTAATTTTATTATAATTCCTATCTCAATCTAACTTCACCATCATTATCAAATAGAACAGTGTGAATATTTGAGTGCAGAAGGGCAATGTTGGGATCGATTATGAAACACATTCAGGGTAAAATCCTGGACTCACTGGAGAACAAGAACTGCTCTGAGACCATTATTCTATACCCTGTTTTCTTCAACCATGAAGGCAGCATTATTGAGATCTGAGATATCCTGCAAATACTATTTAATTTCTCAAGTTTTACATGCCATTCTTGAATTCCATTGCCTGTTCACGCTCCAGTAAGTGAAGTAAGATGGAAATTTCTCAGGGTCGTCCTGTGTCTTGGAGTAAATAGTCGCACAGAAGTGTTCAGCTTTAGATTAGTGCCAGTGAATGATGGCGCTACTGCCAGAAGCTTCACTATAGTATTTAAACAGGAAGAATTTGTTATAAGCTACATAAGCTATGTTGCATATTTATTTTTATTTCTCTACGAAAGTACTGTATCATCTCAATGGGAAAACATGACTTCTTCAATTCCCTATTTTATTGTACAAATATGTGGCAGAAAGATTGTAATTACTGCTGAAATAGGACTAATTTTTAAAATGCTTATAATATTTTTCCAGCACTCTATGCACTGTAATTTCTGGTGCCAAATATAAAGCTGATGATGGACTACAGCAACACTACTATCCAACTGAGCATTTTCTAGTTACTTCTATGTACATAAAATGTATTTCACATTCCTTAAATGCATTTCTCTTGTTGTTCTTTAAGACCATCAGATTTACTGCTGAGCTGATCATAAAAGAAGGGAAATCTTTAAAGAAATAAGGCTTCAAAAAAGAAAACTAAACTTTCAGATTTACTTTGTTTGTATGTGATCAGTAGCCTGAAAAGTATTTATTTATGGCTGTACCAAGCTTATGAGAACATGATGTGTCTGTCTCAACTGCAAGACATGTATTATGGCCAGCTCTCCCTTCCTGAATCATCACTTTATCTGAATGTTTGGTCAGCACCTGAGCTATGTGTACATTTAAGAGGTTAGGCAAGCCTGGACATTTATAATTCGCATGGTTGCAAAAGTATATTGACAAGCACAGAGATTTCAAAACCTGAAAGGCCACCTTTTCACTTGTCAGCTTCCAATGCCAATCAAGTACACAGTATTAGGTGTTCATTAGCCTAATATGCATTTCTGTGTGAACTTTGACTGCATTCTAGGAAAAAGTGATGGTAGTTTGGACTTCGTTAACATTCTTTTTTCAGTTTACTTTTTTTGCATTGGAATACTGCAAGTAAGGGTTTTCACTTTAATGAAATTCTTCCAGGTTAATTGAATTGGATACAGAAAAGTTTGAAGTTCTTACTATCATTTGGGAATTTTTAACTCTCTCGGTATTAAAGCTATAAGCATACACACTCACAGATGTATGGTATAAAACAATAAATGTGCGTTTTTGAAGCTGAGATGTCTAAACATTCAAGATTTTTCTCCTATGGCAACTGCAAAATGTAGTAAAGTCTAGCTTTACTACTCCAGGCCAAATTCTACAACCTTCATCAGACAAAATTCTTCTAGACTGTGCTAGAACCTGGAGGCTTTGGGCAGCGCCTACAGAGAAAACTCAATGCAATAAGAATGTAATATAAACACAGAGAAATAAACGACCTACCAAAAAATCAGTATACTACAACTTATTATTTTAGGCAACTGGGTTGGTTTTGGATAGGATTCTGCTCTCCAGCATCTCAGTATCAGAATCTAAGCTTTTATTTTCATTCATTAGGAAAGGAGTCCTATCCAGCTCTACACTGTGGCATTTACACAGCCAAAAGTTCGAGAGATTTTTATGTCAACCATGTTTCTTTTTGCATTTGCACTCATGCAGAGAATGGGAAACAGAACATACAAACTGTTTTTAAGAGAGAGAGCTATGGATATCTCCAGCTGCGCCAAAACTCTTCTTCTGCAAATGAACTGCAAATAAACTGGCGACTGTTTTCTTTGTACACATGTCTCCTGCCCGCTCCTTTCTAAAGAAATGCTGAAAATACAGATCTTTGCAAGCAGGCTGTGTCTGCACTGAGCTCAGCAGAGCTGCCTGGGAGGAGAAGGCCACGGGGATGGTCTGGGCAGGCGTCATGGGGGGACCTCCATAGGACTCCCCTGCACAGGGACCTGCCTCCTGCAGCACTAAGGAGATGGTGAAGTGGATATACTGCATTTTAGACCCCACCATGCAGCACAAGCTCCAGGCCCTGCAGTAAAAGGTCAAAAAACACCACTGTGACACGAGACTGAAGAGAGCACGTAAGTGAGCTGGGAGAGACTGCGTGTTATATGTCAATGTCACAACTTCTTGCAAAAACAGGCATTTGTTTAATTAAATGATGATGCCAAGAATGACTACAGAAGAATGCACAAAGCTTTCCAGCAGACCCTGCCTTCTCTAGCCTCAGGAGACACATTCCCTCACAGCTCCGAGGTGGCAGTGATGCAAACCTCGAGCCTGACACACTGATCCAGGACAAGGTAACTTAAACTCATGAGCAGCCTTGGGGCCCTCTGGCCCCATCTTATATTCACCTGTGCCCAAATTCCACTTCAAAGAATGGCAAAGAGGCCGTAAGAACAACAGTCACATGATTCAGCCTCACATGGAAATTAAATACATGTGCAAACAACATTTGTACCATAAAAGCATATATTTAAATAATATTTTGCTTTTCCTCTATATGTTCATTAAATGTTACTCTTCACCTTACATCCAGTTGCTGGATACAGCTTTTAACCTCTGGGGGCCAAGCCTGCACGTTGGGATAGGAGCCATCTAGGGTAGGAGAAAGGATATTTGACCTGCCCAGACAATAAAACTAAACTCTATTTTTCCCTGTGTAACACATGCTCCATTTTACAAACAGGTTTTTAAAAGCATCTATTTATACATATTTCAACAGCTAAATGCCATTAACAGACAATATCAGCAAAACAATTCATTTTCTTATGTGCTTTGATGAATATTGAACCCTACTGCAGAAGTCTGCACAAGTTTTCTATGTGATGTCTATATAACAACTAAATCTCTGTGGACATCCTGTTCTTGGACTAGCCTATGTATCTTTTTGACATAGCTAATTCGTGTATAGCCTCCCAATACTGTACAGCTAAAAGGGATAAGGTGGTAAATAGAACTTAAAATGGTTAAGGGTGATTTCAACTCTGGATCTTCAGCCTACCAACAGATCTGGTCAATTATTATCAGGAGAGTGCTTAGTAATCAATATAAAGTGAATCTGACTGTCTCACTTTGAACCTCAGGGAGTATGTCCATGTTACAAAATAACTTCTGCCAACCTAGTCAGCAGAAACTGTCATTGAACTGGCAGTTCCAGCAGCAAAAGCAAAAGTTGAAATGTGCATTTAGAATAATGCAGCACCATTGCTGAAGGAAACCCAAGGAGCACACATGAGTTCCAGGGAGAAAATGTTCAGGAGGATTACTGCATGCCTCCTATCTACGTACTGTAGGTAGAAGGAAAACTTCAGTTCTCGGCACCAGTGAACTCAGAGCTTTAAAAAAATTACAATTTTGCAGGCAATTTTGAATAATAACCCCCCCTCAAAAAAAAAAAAAAAAACCCAAGAAATATTGTAGAAAAGCTCTTAGGAAGTGTGGTTACCTGACATACTGCTGGGAGTTATGGATAAGTAATCATTCTCGTTCTTCTTCTGTCACCAACGTCACTGCCAAGAAAAAGGAAAAAAAAAAAAACCCATGTAATACATCTGTAAATGCAAACATGTACAAAAATTATGTTAATAATGCTAACTTTTAAATGGGATGGAACATTGTGGATCCTGAACACCACAGTCCATTTTGACAGCACAACCTATTACATTCAATTCAGTGCACCTTGCTGCATTATATGTGGCAAAGAAAGCATGTTAGGTCCAGAACCTGCTGGACTGGATAGTCTGTAGATACAAGGGTTTTGGAGTCAAGGTCAAAAAGAAAGAACTTGTATAGTTGACAGAAAAAAAAAATGCTGCTATTTCATAGGACACTTTCCTCTAATTTTCTGTAATAGGTACTAATACAGAATTACTGAGGAAAAAAAAAGATTTTTTAAAATCTCACTGTTTGTGGTGATATATGCGCATTATTCTCCAGTTCATTAAGAAAAGAGGATTCAGAGGAATTAGAAATCCACTTTTCAACCAAGGGTACCACAAATAGCACATCCTCTTTCAGGAACCTCATTCCCCCCAGAGCGCTTCCCAGCTTGATACCTGCTTCTCCCTCTGGTTTCAGCATAGACAACCAAATTCAAACAGAGACTCTCCTGCAGGTATTATTCCAAAATAGAGAAAAGATCTCATTAGATATTTTGAAACTGACCTCCCAATGGCAGTGTAAAAGTGGCATGAGATGAGAATCAAGCTTTTCTGATTATCAGGAAATATCTTTTAATGTCAACATGTAAATGACTTTTTAAGGGGGAAATAAAGTCCCCTTTTTAAAGGGGAAATAAAGTCTCTGTCACATTGCCCTGATCAGTGTTTTATGTCCATGAACTGCGCTGTGATCACTTGGCAACATAGCCAAGTTCCTATTTCAACTGAATTGCTGTTTCCTTACACGGGGAGCGTCTCTTGTCCTTGAAATATCTCCCATCAGCAGCAGGCTAAAAGGACATCTGCTCTATTTAGGCACAGGCCACGAATCCGGAATTAGAAAGCAGGTGAGTCGGAGCAAACACCCGCGCCGTGTAATTAATGTATCTGGGGCGCGCTCCTGCAGTGCCACCCAAGCTCGGGGCCGGCTCGGTCACCGCGTGGGGACAGTCCTGCCGGGGCGGGAGTGCGGGAATGGCGAGCGGGGAGCGCAGAGAGGGCTACCTCCCCCCCCCCCCCACGCACCCCCCACGCGCCGCTCTC